TATTTTCTAAATAAAATCAAACAGCACTAAAAGTGTGAATCTGGACAATTTCACTTTATGTCTATTGAGAGCGATTTAGCTTCATATAAAATACTAAAAATCAACAGAATGCAAAATCACGTCTTTTAGGCTAAAAGGGAATGTGTGCACCTTTCAAAATCTACAGGCGCACTTTTTTAATTTATCGAAATTAAGACTTCAGCACGTTTAAATGTCAACTTTTTATTCAAAAACAAAACTGGAAAAAAGTTGAATTGAAATTAAAAAAGTTTTAAACACGTGTTTGTAATTAGTAGAGAACAAAAGGACACAGCTACCTTTACAGGACACGTTCAAGTTTCCTTTACACAAGTATTTGTTTACACAGTTTTGTTCACATTCACTTTACTCCTTACACGTTAATTTATGAACGCAAGTAAAAAAGTAAAACAGGGATTCAAATTTTTGGCATATATTAAATGAATCCTTTGTCTTATTCGTTTCTTTCTTATTACAAAAATAACAACAAAAGGCGACACATGCTTTCGTACGTCATTATTATGACATTAACACATCATGAACACCCCAATTTAAAATCAACAATGGCAATGTAATTGCAGCAGCAGTAGCAGTAGTGGGCGTGTCAGATTGCCATTAAAATCGTTAATATGAAACCTTGGCGTTAATAAAAAGTAATGCTTTTTTATAAGGAGAAAACGAAAAATATATGCAAAATTTGTATGGCACATCTTTGTTGGTTTTTACATCATATAGGGTAGTTTACCATAACTAAACGGGAGTATAAGATATAGCAATAAATTTACTGCCCTCATAAACTTTCAAAAGAACTCCCACCGACTTAGTTTTCTAATGATAAGAATAGTGTTTTAATTTTTTATATTGCATTGCAATTCTCTTTTTATATTTTATGGATTCTTAAATATTGAAATTATGTTTTACGTTTATAAAAATTCAGTGCCTAATTTGCCATATCATTGAGAAATATTTTAATAAGAGGACTTAAGCTAAATTTTATTTAAAAAGTAATAGAAACAAATTTCGTACTGCAGATCTACTCTTAACCATTGCTAAATATATACGGAAACAGTGTGTATTTGGTAAAAAATGGTATGACTGCTTAACCGGAAGTCAACAAGCTTTTGGAGCAGCGTAAGAGTCCAAAAAAGCATAAAATAAATATACAAAGTAAGACAACTCAAGCAGGAAGTTAACATCAGCTTGTTGAATTATTGAAGTATCTGAGAAGTAAGCAAAAAAAAAGATACACAGAAAAAAAACAATAAATAAAGGAACCCCCTTGAAAACATTGCTAATCCATCATAGCACATGCATGTTATCCTAGACTTTTTCGTACTGAAATATTTACAAAAAATTCGTAGGAAAATAGCGAATGAAGAAAAGCAGAAATAACAGGATGTTTTGCTTCTTAGGAAATAAAAGTTAAAGCTGCGGAAGAAGTTTAATGATTGCATTTCAATTTTGTTTTTGGTTGTCATGTGGTGGTAAAAAACCTTAACCCAGCCTTTTTGCAATCTTAATTTAAATCTTTATCTATCTATGATGACTTTAAGAATAATAAAAATTTTTCTTATAAATTTAATAAATTATTTAGTTTATTTTCCACTTTGTTCCACTTGCAAGAAAAATTAATAAAAGTAAACAAAAATACTGAACAAAGGAACTCTGTTCTCAGTTATCTAGATTGACTTGGTCTAATTTGAGCAAATAACATACCAGTCAGCTATCAGTCAACTAATGCGGAAGCTGCTCAGCACCACGGTATTAGTACTGACGGGCCACTGCATAATAGGGAGGCATACTATAAGACAGGGTCTACCCTGTAATGACTTTTGTCAAGGCTGTGGCCTGGAGAATAAGAAGGAAACTCTGTGCTCCATCTTATGTGTCAGTCCGCATCTTTAGCTAGGATAAGATCAAAAATCTTCGGGGAGCCTTTTCTTACCGACCTGATCGGAACTTAGCCAAATTCATAGAATTGTCAGGTTGGTTTACCTTTACCTAATGGGGGAGGCGTTGCTCATATACAGAACTTCAAGTCTATGTACGAACCAACGCTATTTCAGTGGTACCACAATGGGTCATTATTTGACCTCAAGTGGGCTTTCTTGGATACAAGGCTATATATGTGTGAGTTAGATAAGTTCAAAGCGGCAGCCCCTTATACATCAAAGCTCACTTGAGTTTATATAATATGCCTTTCTGTTGTCAACGGTTAATACATTATTCTAATAGAATTTTTTTTTAAATTAATATAAACATAAATTAATAATTTAGACTTTTAAAATGCTTTCTAAATGATCATTTCAATTTAATGTTATTTTTTTTAACTTAAGTTTTCTGTTATTGTTATATCCATTTATTACAAAATAAATTAAAATCCTTGCTTCGTAAATTCGTAAACATAATAATGTTGTCCCAGTTTTTCTTCCATAAGAGTTGAAATTTCACCCAATTTTTCCCCGAGTATCTGCATAATATGCGCTTTTGTTTCGAATTACAAAAACCTTAATTAACCACTTCAATTGTGTTGTAAAGACGCTCTTCCGGTTAATTTTGAGTGCTTCAATTTATTACACATTTTGTGCTTTCATTATCATTTTGAGCATTTTTATTCTGTGGCAATTATTACAGCGAAAGCAAACAAAAAGGATGAAACACTTTCGAATGTTTTCGAATGTTTTTATATGACCAGTAAAACACTCATTATTATCATTACCATCAACATCATCGACGTAATCATGGCCAGTGCATCACTTCGCCAGTGTGATGTCAGAGAACCAGCTCCCAACTTCCAACATCATCAATGACATTATTATTATTGTTTTAATTATTTTTTGTGACCAGCTGCGTTATTGGATTGGTTTCTCGTCGCAATATTCGTCCTGCCTGCTCCACTGGGTGGGTTGTTGATTTTTAATGGCAATATTGATAATGGAAGTGTTGATGTTGGTAGTACAGTTTGTTTTGGTGGTTGCTTACGGAAGCAATATTACTACCGACAGCAGGGACTCTGCTTTATTTTTCCACTTGCTCGCTGGTTGGTGGTCGCTGGTCGGTGTTGCTTATAATTAAATCCTGCCGAACTGTTTTTGTGCCAATTATTTGATGTAAATTGTTTCACTGCAGTGCAATTTCATTAAGTAAATTATGAACTCTCTGTTGGGATATACATTATTTTAAGTGATAAGTATTTACAATTTTCATAAAGAGCGCATTCAATGTAATTGCAAATTAATTTGTCAATTCGGCAATACCGTAACTCCTTTTAGTCTGATTAATTATCTTAAGCAAACAAAAAGAATATCACTTCAAGAACAAGCAAGTTAATTCCTACTAACTGTTGTTTTATAAAGGAAGATTATTGTTTTCTAAACTAAGAACCATCTTTAATAACAGAATATATTTTGATGACCTTAAATTGATATTAAATAATGTGATAGTCTTAGGGAAGCGGAAAATAGGACTAATCATCAGTCCAAAAAGAACCCGTAATTGAACCATTCTTCAGAAATCACAAGTTGTCCACAGTCCACAAAAGACTTCGTTAGATAGGGGTTACATATAAGACTTTTTAGCAGACAGTATTAATCAAAAAATATATTTTATATTCAGTCGAATAGTGAATATTATAAGGCTTATGACGATTCATAAAAATATTTTAATTCAAGTTATATACAGCAAAGGTTAAAAAGTAACAAGTTCCATAATGTTACGTCCAATTGCACTCCCTTAGGCACTGAAACTAACATCTTCCCAGCCCAAAAAATGAAATGACTCCAAATTCATTTCACTTTAGTTTGTTTCGTATTCTTAATTTGGGTTTTTTCTTTTTTCCTCATATATTTTTTGTAGTTTTTATATAAAAGGTGACATGCCGTCACTAAATCAAAGCGAAAATAAATTATTGACATTATTTACAAAGCAGCTCCTGCCACAAAGGACCAAGCGGCACAAAGCGGATTTCACTGTCAAATGTTATATATGCACAAAGCACATTTATTTACGACTAAATGTACAATAAATAGTAAATGTAGGCACTGATTTTTATTAATTGATAAGAATTTATATATATTATACAAACAGATACAAACAAATGTGTAGTACCTTTTCTACTACTCTTTCTACTACTGTTTCTACTACCATTCTCAGTCACTTCAGCGCCAACAAACTACAAAAATTTTACCCGTGACTTCAAGGCAGTTTTTCCTTTGCTGAATGAAATTACAGAGCATTTTTCTTGTACGCCTAGTTAAATAGCAAATAGTGAATAAAATATAGTGAATGCACAAATAAAGATGTAAAGGATATAAACTGCTAGTGCTATAAGGACATGCGAACGAACACTCGTATGTTAGGGTAGGATGAAATATGGGTTATGCAAAGAGGGAGCGAAAGCTGCAGTTATTTGATGTATGTGCTGAAATAAATAAAAATCAAAGTAATACTAAACGAGTCGTAGATTTTAATTATTAGATATTTATATGTAAGTAAACAAAAGAAGATTGATTGCGATATATTATTAACCCCTCTCTGTGTGGTTGTGTGAAGTGTAAAAATTGCTACAGCAAAGATGTGAGCGATACTAGTATTAACCATAAACGCACAAAACTTCGCTGTAATTATGGAAGATGAATATAGTTCACTTGATCCTACATATTCACAAGTAAAACGTTCCCCAGTACTTATTATTTTATCTAACCATAAAATACATTAGAATAATGAGAAGGTTCTGAGTAAAACACAAGGACTTTCTTGTTGACTTTTATTTTTGAGATAACATACTTAAGTAATAAACAGAAAATGTGGTTAAAAAAGGGTGAACTAATGTTATCATAGAGTACAAATTCTCGTGTCTTGTGATGATTTACATTAGTGTGAAATATTGCTAAATTTTAAAAAGCCCTCAAGATTTATAATTTCATTCAGTAAACACAAGAAGTTTTTTTCTGCCAAAAATCTAACAAATTTCTTTTTTTCAGTACCACCTCTAAACTTACTACTTCAAGGACTAAATCATGCTCTTGTGGCTGGCACACGCACCCATGTGACTTGTACAGCTGTTGGAGGCCGCCCACCACCAAATATAATATGGACCAAAGGTGGACAACTTATACAAGGAGCCACACAATCCGTAAGTTAAACTAACATAAAATAGCAGTACTATATTACATACGGATTATTGTATACCTTCAAAAATGAGAAAGATATTTTGTTTATAACAATAATATACCAGTGCTATATATGGTAAAAACATACGGGAGTATCCATTTTATGACTTCAAAAGAAAGTTTATGTAAAACACCCTGATGGTTGAAAGGTTGATAAAAATTTAATTGAATATATCATTTGGTCGTTGAAATTAAGTATGGTATACAACATTATTCAAATGTCCTCTATGGAACATACTAAAGTACTGGATCTTTTTCAGGCAACTTGCGATGAGTTGTTCTTCACAAGTTTAGCATGTTCAGCGGTTGTCAAACAATCCAACTTCTTTAAAATTCTAAACTAAACAAATAATGCTTTGATGGATAGTTCTTATAATATATGTCATTGAAGTAATACTGCGAAATCAGAAGCACAATGTATTTAACTCTTTAAGATTTATATATATTAAATATTAAAACAAATATTAGTTTTAAATGAAATATTAAATAAGGTTTCCTGAGGTATTTATTTACGTCGTGCTTTTATATTCATACAGACCTCCGCTGATGGGAACACAACAATTTCAGAAATGATGCTTATACCCGTTCCAGAAGATAATGAACGCCAAGTTGTTTGCTCTATTTCCTTAAATCAAGGTCACCATATAGGAGATGGTCACACTACTGTAACTACAGCTTCGATGAATGGCAATGCTATTATGTATTTGAAGGATTCACGTGTTTTAAATGTTACACGTAAGTAAACATAAAATTTGTTCTAAAAGTGAATGAATTTAGATTTGAGATAAATTTATACTAAAAAGCAAAAAATTCTTGTCTATTTTTCACAGATGCTCCAATCGTATCATTGAACTTGGGTGCACCACTCGATCCAAATAACTTAATGAAAGGTTCAGATGTTTATTTGGAGTGTGAAGTTAAAGCTAATCCTGGCATTACAAAAGTGGAATGGTACCACAATGTAAGTATAAACAATGTTTATTGTAACAAATATTTAAAATTGTGATAAATATTTGAATTATATATTTGAAGTAGTTGTTTAGATGGTAATACGTTGTACTTAATTAATATTTTTTCTATTAATATTTCTAAAATTAATAATTTAAAGCAGATTTCTTTTGCAAACTAGAAGAGCTTAAAAATCTGTTTTTAAAAAACATATTAATCATAATATTAAAGTATATAAAGTAATAGTAACTAGGTGAAGCTAGCTAGGCATTAAGCAGAAAAAGATAGTTCATCTCAAAACAGCTTAAAAGGAAATACTTTCTCAAACTTAATTGAAACGTTTGGCTTTTTTGTTAGAATAGATAGAAATGTTAATGCTAGTATGCTTCACCATGTTCCGTGTTAACGATTAATGCAGTACGTCTTTGCTTTATTGGACTGGGTTTTCATATTTTCATCAGTTACTGCTTTTGTATTTAATCTGTTCTTCAAAAACAGCGAAGACATATTTCTATATATTGATATATATTCCTATACATTGATATATATTCCTATATATATCCTATATATTAATATATATTCCTATATATTAATATATATTCCTATATATTAATATATATTCCTTTTTCGTCATATCCTACAACCCTAAGTTTTGGAATTTGTCCGCATTACTTTCATTATACATACTCGCATTATTCGTTTTCTAGTACTCGTTGTACGTCATTTAGCACTTGAGACAAAAATTGCCGCTGGATCCTGTTTAATTTACACTTCATCTTTTGTTTACAATTCCTTTTTTTCTGTTGTCCTGGCAGTATGTGCTCCTTCTATGCTTTTTTCAAATGTATAATATAAAAAAATTAAATAAAACCTCCTACATAATATATTAAGCTGTATGTGAAGTGAAAATTTTTTTTTATAATTGTTTCAGTTAAGCAGTTAAGTTGGGAATGTTTATTCTATGAGATTTAATACGGGGGTCACTATTTATATTTTGAGCCTTGGCAACACGAATTGTTATCAGGTGTCATCTGACATTTCCATACAAAAGTTTGACATCATTAAACATAACCAACCTTAGAATGTGGATTATCTAGACAAGTACATCGATAAACTACTTCCACACTTTGCAATAAAACGTCATCTTTTACCACTGAGACAATGATTTAAATCTTGGCAATAGTTCGCTCACTGACGAAACTCGTGAAGGTCGTCATACGACATACTGCGATATTAAAGCAACCCTAGGCATTAGTTTCACTAGCACAAGCTTTTCTGTCCTCCTTGGCTACCGGCTGGTCATCCCATATACACCTCCGTCATATTTATTTTGTATATGTATATTTTTCAATAATGCCTATATGATGTTGGAATACTTCTTCCTATGACTTGTATTCTCTTTAATATTGTTTTTAATTCATTAACTAAAATTTCTTACCCGATTTTCTACGGAATTTAAATAAAAAATAAAGGAAATTAAATATAAATTTTAAATGTGAAAAATGTTTTTTCATGCTTGCATTATCCTTTCCTCTTCTTTGCTATTATTTATTTTGACTTTAAAGTCAAATGTTTTCAGTAGATTTAAAATAATTTAAAGGATAAGTTTACCACTTGAGCTTTACGAAACAAGGCTTTATTTATTTATAAGCTCAACTTCATACAACAAATATTCATTCATTGTTATCCTTGTTGTTCGCTGCTATTGTTTGTTGTTTTGTTGTTCTGTTGTTTTATTGTTGGTATTGTTTGTGCTGGCGATGTTTGTGCTCGGGTGCTGCATTTGTCAGCAATGTCAATGCTTTCTGCAGCAATCCTTGCTGGCACAAATATCTTTTTATACTTTGAATGATGTTTTGTACTCCTAGATGGATGAGTAGACGAATGGATGAATAAATAAAAGTATGCTTAGATCTAAATATATAAATACTAATGTAAATGCTTGTACATATGTACATACTTTCATTTGGGGTATCTACAATTGGCATTAACTTGCACCAATGTTGGGAATTGTAAGTGTATTATGCTTAAGAATGTCATTGTATATTTATTGGTCTGACTGCCTCGCACGCCAATAAATATGTAAGATAAAACACAAAAATAATAAAAAAAAAGGAAAAAATTAAAAATAAAACAATACGAACTGTACAGTAGGGTTGTCATATATACAGGGTCACCTGTATATTCCTTCAATGTCAATAACTTTTTAAAATTTTTGTCTTGATTTTTAAAAACAATCATTTTGAAGTGAGTTTTAAAATATCCTTATGAGCATTGAATTGATTAACAAATTAGTGGACAAGTTAGTGTAGTAAGGAATAATGATAAGGATGATAAGACACATGTTGGGGATAAAGGATTAAGAACCTCTCGAAGGTTCTACTAAACTCGTGTGATACCAAAATTGTACTATTTAGTGTCAATATGTCGGTAACTTCATTTTGGAATCAAGTACTATTCTAACCTACTGTAACTTCTAACACTGTTAGCGATGGGCAAAATTTGGCGACAGTCTAGGGTACAACCATGCATTTTTCAACTGCGTGCTGTCACCCAAAGATCAGCAGAGTTATTAGATAGGCCTCGCTCCTCACTAAGACGGAAGTTTTACCCAAACACATAACTTCAACTGGTACGGGCGGAATTCCTCGGAAATCTAATGACGCGTGTGAATAACACCGTGCTGTTGAAACTTCTCTGCGGTTATCTCTGCGTTAAATTCTGAACCTTCATGTACATAGATATTTAGCTACTAAATTGCGAAACAAATTTGATTGAAATAAGTGATGCCGTTGCAAGCAGTTGCATACATTTTTAACCGCTCGATCAACAGAATGGTAGCCGGAGTGTTATTATGTGGGTCTATATAGTATCTACGAAGTGTTAGGTACTCTTGACCAGTAGCAGTAATCTTGACCACTGTCAGCGCTAAAACCGGCACTGACTTATATCCTGATTTAAAGCCTTCTTGTAAGATTTGCTACTTCTTTTCATCTAATCCACATATATAGTATATTTTATTTATTATATATTGTGTCTGTACGTATATGCAATATTATTTGATAATTTTTTATATTAAACATACTTGTTTTATATTTTTTCTTCAATTTATTAAAATCGGCTTTAGGTTACTTTTTCAATACTTGAAATTTTTTATTAAAGTTTTTATTTTTTTCAAAATAGTTTTGTACTAAGGTTCAATAAAACCTTATATATTATATATATATTTTTTGTTAATAAGTATGTTGATCAATTAAATTTTAATAAAAAACACAGATATAGTTCAAACTACATGCAAAATACAATTGAAAAAACTTTTAATTGGTTAAAGTGCTCTTATATCTCAATTTGTATTACCCTTTATATCTCATTGTAATGTAAATCCCAGGAAATTGAATGGTAAATCATTTGTATACTTCGAAAAAATGAGATAATAAATTGTGTGGAAATGTAAAACTGAAATGTTTGAGCAACTTGTGAAGGGAAAGTTACTGACTGAATTGCGTTATCAATGCGATTCTATCTATTCGATAGAGTAGATAGAAGTGAACTAAATAAAGCAGTGAAATTATTTAAATTACTTGATTGACTAATGAGATCTTTACTTAATGTTATTAGATATTTTTTTTAGATATTAGTTAAAACTTATAGAGGAAACTGTTGTGAAAAAGTTCTACAGAAATGGAAATGACAATTGTAGAAAGCATAATAAAATAATAATAATAATATGCATAAAACTTTATTAAACGCAATATAAAGAACAAAGTTAGTTTTATAGTTTTAATTAAAAAATAAAAAATAAAAAAGAATACAATTATCGATAATTGCAACAACGTTCAGCTGTTGCATTTTAAGTAAAAATTTCTAAAAGTATCTCATTATTATTTAATTGAAATAATTTTTTACCATTTGATCTTCTTTATTGAATCTCTCTAAAACCATGCTTTCACAAGCTTATCGCAGTACAATTCAATAAAAATTAATTAAAATTCCGTTTGCTACAAATGTGTAATATCTGCAGCTGTTTTACATAATTCGTTCCTCTGCTGCGCTGAGAAGATGTTTCACATTTTGCTTCCTTAACTCAGTTTTATCCTTGCCTTTTAGCGATGAGAAAATAAAACGAGGAAACTGCAGTACAAAGAATGCAAATATATAAAATGCATTATTAAGTTTATCCTTTTTAAATTTCAAATTTTCTTTTCATTATGAATTTCCCTTACAGTTCAGTACATTCCCTGCAAGTAATGGAATTTTCCTTTCCTTGTGTTATCCTTGCGAACGGCAACTTTGTCGTCTTAAGTTTTATGATAATAAGTTTATGTTTTATCTCATTTGTTCTGGTCTGTTGCACATTATCTGCTTAAATTAATACTTTTGCAAATTATTTTTTCATTTTCTTTCGCAGGATAAACAATTGCATTCATCACGTGGCATAATCATATCGAATCAAACCTTAGTTCTACAAGGCATCTCGAAATCGTCACATGGACAGTATTTCTGCAGAGCTACGAACTTACAGGGGAGCGTTTCCAGCAATGAAGTTTACTTGGACGTTAAATGTGAGTATCTTGGAAATCGACAGTTTGAGCTTGGGATTTAGTTAAAAAAAGTTTTTTCCCTTTATAAAGTTTTTCTTCTATTGCAAGAAATCTATTTCGAATAGAGGAAATTCATGAAATTTTCCATTTCACACAAAAAACAGCTGTTATAACTTTTAAAATAATAAATTTATTTATTATTTGAAATTGTGATATATTTTTTTTACACAAAAGCAAATTAGAGTTATTTAGGTAAATATCTGTCTTTACAGGGCACTGGACTACAGAATGGCATAGAGCTAGACTCGGTCTACTCTGTAGTATCTTTTGCAACGCATGTCTACAGTAGAATACCTGTTGTGTCTATATTCAGGCTTGGCCAGAACTAGGCTTAGGTTTTTGGGAGCCCTCTTCTTTAACGCACTTAGCGATATCTCCAGTAATAGCATTGGTTAGACTCTCGCCTTTATAAATGCTTTTGACTGGTTCAAGTTCGACCTTCTTCTCTACCCTTATTACTAGAATTTGTGGGATTTTTAGTCCACTTCAACTAACTAACTAACTTGATATTGCTAAATATCCATTATCAGTGATTTTGAAAAAATCCGTTGATTTAAATGTCGTATCGTATGATTTTTGGACTTCATATATCAGAAATTGAGCCCAGTCAACTTGAAACCGTGGACCCGTGTTAACACAAAAAGCCATCTTATACTTAATTTGCGTTATTCAAACTAAGAGTTTTATTAATTCTTGTTGTGGAGTCATTAATAACCATTTTTTATTTGTGATATTAATTTGAACTAACACATAAACCACAGCTACATAAAATAACTTAATCATTGTAATTTGTTGACAATTTTTTATTAGTAATTAATAAATATAATATTATTGATTAAATTATTGTATTTCTTCATATATTTCACTCATGGGAAATGTGATTTTTTAAACACTTCCTCGTTTGATACAATCGGATTAGTGTTCCAAGATATATGGGTATCAACAAAAAACCTTTGGTATGTTTTATATCACCATATATTTTTTGATTTTAGTTTTGCATAGATTTATATTTTTGATATATGCTTCAAAAAATATACATATTTCTCGAAAAGAATGCATGGCATATATCACTTTTTAGACGTTAACATAATAGACTAGCTTTATAGAAGTAAACACTAAGCCAAAATTACTTCAGTACTATTTTAAAGAGTTAAAAAGTATATTAAAAGGACACTTCTATTCATTTCACCTAAGAGTTTTTGAAACTTTATACTTATTAGTTTTGTTTTGTATTTAAATAAAAGACCTTTAAGTTAAGTGGCTGCTGTGTTAAAGTTCACTACAACATCTAAAGTTTCGCATTAATGTAGTGCTCTTGGCACTTACATGCCTTTTACTAAAACTTTAACATTCTTTTATCATTTTTCCAACTTTAGTTGGTAAAAAACGTTAACTATTTCTTATATATGAAAAATGTTCATGCCGTAACTAGCATTTTTAATTTGGGTCAGCAGCGCAAATAACAAGAGCTCTACGTTATCTGGTATCAGCCTCCGAGCTACAGGTGGCATAAATTTAAAAAATCAACATCAACGTTTAATATTTACAGGAAAAGTATTTCAATCTTATCTCAGAGAAGAGTTGTTTCTGTGAGATATTTAATTAAATGAATAGAAAAATATTTAAGAACCACTTAAATTGCATTAAAATGAAACTGTTGAGTGATTTGTTGTACTTTCGCAATCCTTTCGCAATAATAAAATGTTTTTATAAATTTTGTTAAGAATTATATCTAATACTCAAGTAATAACAATATTTTTATTTTATTTTTTTTTTTTAATTAAAATAGATCCTCCTGTCTGCAGCTCTGAATCGACCATTATACGCGCTGCACTTAAGCAAACAATAAACATCACTTGTCAAGTGGACGCAAACCCACTTGATAATCTTAATTACAAATGGCATTTCAACAATTCACTCGAAAGCCTAATCGAACTGCCAACAACGGTAGCAACTGCTGTCTCCGCGCAACCATTGCAACATCCGGACACAGGTCGTACATCCGCTGGCGGATATTATCAACGCACCAAAAGGAAACATTCGCATTCACAGAAATTTGTACTCGGACGCCATGGTCGTGTGGCAGCTAGCAGTAACGTAGCAGCTACATGGTCGAATATACATTTCGAAGATGAAGACGAACATCATGATTACGATGGCATGGGTGTTAACAACGACGCTGACGCTAACGCTAACGCTGAGGATGATGATGATGACGATATTGGTGTTATACGCAGCGAAATGTCTATAAACGATATGGATTATGGTAGCATACCAGAGTTGCCATATACGCAAATGGTTTACTCAAATATGATGCATAAAAATCACCTCGAAGGTAAACAGCAAGTACGCAAACAAACGCAACAACAACAGCAATTGCAGTTGCAGCAACAACAAATACTGCTGCAACATCCAGTTAGTGCACATGATGCAACTCATGGTAATCAATTCCTATTAGCGGAACGTAAACGAATGGCAGCTTTGCATAAGCAACAGCATCATCGCGTTATGGTGACAACCACACCACCAGCTCCACTGAATAACGTATACGTTTATCATATTGAATCATATGACAGTTTCGGTGCAGTGTCATGTGTAGCTAATAGTCCTATGGGTCAGAGCCAGCCTTGCTGGTATCATATACAACCTGCAGGTGAGTTATGCTAGCAAGTAAAAAGTTGTGAAATATGAAAGGCAAATTATGATTTTTGAGTTTGACGATGTGTGGTTTGGGACAAGGACGGTTGGGCTATTTTTATAAAACTATATATAAGTGTTATAATCGCCGTATTGGGCTGTGAAACGAGAAATGCTACTGCTTTTTTTTTTGGACAATAATTAAAATTCTCTCAATAACGAAAAATGTGAAATGAAAATTTTAATTTGAAATTTTTTTAAGCTGAATCTGGCAAAATGGCTTTTTTCTTTTATATAAGATGTGTTATGTTTATTTTTTTTTTTTGTTTTTATTTGATTCTATTAATTTATTTCATATACCGTGTGTGTAAAAACTTTATTAATGTCAGTCAAACACGGGCTTACATTGTGACATACCGTACAATATCCTTTTTAACACGTATTTTTATTTAATGTTCAATATCTTTCGAGCTTGGTGGCATTTTTTCTTATAAAAAAATTGAAATCGCATATGCCAATTAAAATTTATGTGACCAAGTAACTGATTGTGTGGTTGGTTAATTCACGTCACAGGACATATTGTGCTTACAGCACTAACTTTTCTTCTCCTTCAGTGAAGCAACAAAATTTTACGGAACTCCTTCTGACTTACCAGAGAGTGTATTAAGGTTTCATGTTAAAAATAAGAAAATCGTTCGTAGAGTAAAATGGCAAAAATGCTGTAAATAATATATTCATCCAACAAGCAAAAATAAAAAAAATATATAAAAGTGCAATATCTGAATCCTGCTTAAATTATTTATGATTGTGTGTGCGTGTGTGAGGTGAACTCATGCAAAATGCATATATGTCTCAAATCGTCTTTTAATTCTTTATTAAAAAAAGCACTGAAATGCTGTAAAACTTCAGCAAAAATTCCTTCACCCAGAAGAAGTAGCTTTTGTTAAATGTAGTATACTTTTTGGCGTAACGGAAAATCGAAAACGGTTGATAAGTAACTTACTTCCGTTTTATAGTGTTCTGTTTTGGTTGGGCAGAGAACAATTTCATGAAATCAAAATGAAGAGTAAAAGGCTACATATTATTGGCCTTCTTTAATAAAATACAATTATTAATTTAAAATAAAATGTAGCTTAAATATAGTCGTATTAAAAAATAGTTATTTATTTAATTGTTGGGAGTTGACAGTATAATCCTTTTATGTCATTCTTAGCAATTTTTTATAAAGGTTAGATGTGAACTTCATATTGTTAAAAAATAATCTGTTGGTGTCTATTTTCGTCATAAAGTAGAATTATGTTATTGCTATAATGCTAGAATATAGATTAGCTAGTATCTTATATTACCATAATTTATAATATAATAAAGGGTATTTTATTCTTAATTGTGGTGGAGAAAGGAACGAGTCCTCCTCAATTAGCTAAAAAAGCCTTTTTAAATTCACAAAACCTCGAACTAGTGGTTAGTGGAAAGAAGGTCAAGCTAGAACCAGCCAAAGGCATTTATAAAGGCAAGAATCTGGCCAATGCTTATGCTAATGCTAGAGATATCACAGAGTGTGTTAAAGAAGAGGCCCCCCAAAAACTTAACCCTAGTTCTGGCCAAACCTGAACGTAGACATATTAGAAGTTCGGTTGTCTTTTATTCGATAGCTGGTACACACGCATTACAGAAGATACCACAGGAGATACCTAACACCTCTGATTTGCTTCTATTTATTATGTCAGAGGTTTTACATTTGGAATAGATTGACCTTGTAACCCTCGACTTGGTTGCTGAGGCGGTAAGGGTCTACTCACTATTTGCTGTCGCAAAATGTGGTGATAAATCAACCTACGAAGGTAGCTGACAGAGGCTGGGATTTAAATATGGTTATCCGTGGAAGAGGCGCTAAGTCTAAATTTTATTCTTATAGATACCAAACAATTATTATAAACCTATTAGGTAAGAATACTAAGTTCGCGTTTCTGCTCATAAAAACCGTTGGTGTAGTATTGCTTTTATTTCGCTATTGCACAGTAACATTTTCAGTTAGGGACTAATCCAAGACAGACTTAGTTTTCACATAAATGCTGAGGCACATTTACTAGCATCAACTGAGCCAATAGGCTGTCTAGAGCGCCAAATGCCTTGCGATCTTTAGACTTAAATTATTGAAATGTACACGTACATGCTATTGAAACTTCAATTGCATGTTAGTTATCTAATAACTAGTTGCTTAATGTTTGTTTTATTTATTGTTTTAATACCTTAAATAATAAAACTCATTCATTAGTCCCTACTAATGACACATTCTTCCTGTACTATTAAATACGCAGCAAAGTCTCTTTAAGTGAGATTGTTTTAAATAAAAGTTTACTCGTTATAAAATATGTACTCTTCTGTTTAACAAAATTTAATATCAGCCATTAGCCATACAAGTTTGGTAATTGACCATTAATTTAATTACTTTTAATGCAAAAGGCCAATATTTTAAAATAAATTTTTTGATATTCGAACTTTGGTTGTGGAGAATATTAAAAAAATTTTAGTTGGAGAATAATTTTTAAAACCCTACAATTCTACATATCTCTGAGCTCGATACCATGCTATGGCAGCCATAAAAACAATGACCGGCAATTTCATTTATTGCCACTGCAAATTCCCATTGTGCGCCAAACTATGAAAAAACTCACATAAATTTTAAATTGTACAATTTTAATATTTGCCATAAAATAAAATTTTCTAAAAAGTTGTCATTGTCGTGCTTATTTCTGTGTATTTCTGTGTATTTCTGTGTATTTTTGTGAAACAAAACTTTGACACCAAACAACAATTCTGAAATATTTCAACAATTATTTTTGCAACTGAAGACAAAAGTCATTAAATGCTTAAACATGGAAATATGTGTTATGCTAAGTCCTCATAAAAAAACAATAAACAATATATATAAAAATTATAGTAGAAGTAGAAGTGCTCTTCTCAATGTGAATGAAATGCCTGGCATGGCATATAAAAACCAAAATTAAACCGGAAATATTTCTCCCTTTCTGCGAATGCATGATATGTCAGTGGGAGAAGATGGTAAGATGGTTTTCAGAAAACAATTAAATTCTAAAAATCTGAAAATCTAACAGGAAATGCTAAATCTTTTATATGAAGTAGTGTTTAAAAAATAAATAATAATTGTAAATCAAAAGAAAACAAAAATCAAATAAACCAGATATATACCTATATATAGAATATGAAGTATGAATAAATAAACGAACTCCAAAAAGAAACTGTGCTGCTGCATAGTTAAAAATAGTATAAATCCGGATATAGGAAGTTAGTGTTTGCCATTTTACAATTTTACAAAGGATTTGTACACAAAGTATTAAACTGCACTCATGAATATGTGAGCTCCTATTCGGTGCATATATCAAAGTGGCATTCTGTGAAATGCCAACAAATTTTATGTACAACTGTTCAAAAATTAAAAGCAAAATAAATGAAATGTCAAAAATTCTAACTGGTTGGCATTGTTTTCCAGATTCACTCGCCTCTGAATCTGGAGTGCTGCACACATGAGCACCAACGTTTTTGTAACTACCATATTTTGTAACAAAACAGTTGCAACAAAAACTGCAACTGATATAGATTAGCATACATTAATACCGAAACATTACAAATCCGTCCGGAACAGGTCCTTAAGCGTTTGTTTATAATTGCACGAAACTATTTGAAATTCTTTAAGTAGCAAATAATAGTAAAAGCTCGCATGATACAAAAACGGCATTAAAAATATTGCATGCTAGAAAATTTATGTTTATGACAGTATGAGTGGCAAATAACTACCAATTTTAAATTTCTATATGTGAAATGTATGGGAGAGTCGTTTCCTTTTTTGGTGTTGGTCGCATACTAATCGTCTAGTCTACGTATGAATCGAAGCTTTTCCTGTGGTACCACAGCGGGCCATTATTTAAGCGCAAGTGAGCATTCTTAGTGTACAAGGCCGCCACTCCAACATTACCTAACCTATATGTCAAACATATAAGAGGTATCATTGACTACAAGCAAATATTAAAAGAATATACCATACTCCTTTAATCAACCACTATTGAAAAGAATATTTATTTGTTATGCTACTTATGTACTAAGTAAATCGTCCGCTTTAACAATGTTTATTGTTCTAGAGATTATGTACTTGTAAAGGCTCCACTCTTCAATGCTTGCCAACATCTATGGTATCATAGTAGGAGGGCTGGCTTCATCAATTTCTGTCTTTAGAATTTGTCTAATATCTATGAATCTTATACAGTCTTTAATTATGTGGTTGGGATACTCAAGTTTACCTGGACAAAACTGACAGTACGGGTTACCTGGCAGCTTAAAGTATTGACGGAAGCATCCAATCCCCGTGTTTTTCATCGTATTTGTATTTTTAAATCCGTTCTTGGTTCATTTTTCGGTTTTTATTATAATTTCCATCAAAAATTGAATTCTATCTAATCTTTTGAATACTAATAATACTTTCAATAAAAGTTTCAGTTTCATTGATATTAAAAATGAACACTAAGCAGTTCAGAAATAAGATATTTCTACACCGAACTGCGACTTAAGAGAAAAAAACATGTGCTTTTGATATTATCGTCTTATCTTTTGTCTTTTTGTAACCATAATATAAAATAGTTCTCAATGATGAAGAGATCATCTTTCTGCAAATCTTTCATTTTTTTAAACTTCAAAAATAAAATAGCACTTCTTTACTTTATTCATTGTCTAAATCAGTAGTTCCCAACCTTTCTTTGACCAGAACTTCAATGATATTTTTAGTTTTAATAGGGACCATAAAGTTTAAGAAAAATAAACTGTATGATTGTTTTAATATGCTTTATGCGTCTCTGCTACATTATATAGGCTATAAAATGAGTAAACTTTTGGAAACTTTTTATGCTTATTTCTAATAAGTGAGCTCTCAGTGGGCAAACAATAAGCTAAATATTCATATCTGTTAAATTTGATTCATGAACCATTTTTAATCATCTTGAAGACCACAAATGGTCCGCGGGTTACTTCTGTCACTTCCTGTGGTCCAAATATATGGAACATAGTAACCAGAGATTGTAGATTAATTATGCGCAATATTTCAGAAATGCATTTGTACGACTTACTTAGACTTACTCAGTGTATGATGTTGATTTGTATCTTTAAAGTTTTTATCTTGATTCTTAATTTTCCTCAATTTACATAATTTTATCGCTTTTGCTATTATTAAGTTTGTCTCCTCTTTTCTCAATTAATGATATTTCCTTTAATTTATATATTTCTTTTTCTTTCATTATTATGATTTGTTTTTCTTTTTGTTATTTTTTCCACTTTAAGTCGTATCTTTAAAGCCATTATGTTCTGCCTCCTGTTTTAACATTTGAATCTCTTATTCTGTTCCACTAATATCCTTTCTAACATTTGCTATATACATTTTCCAAAGAAAGTTTGAAATAAATTCTATTATTTCAAAAACGCAAAATGGAATTTAAAACAATCAAAGTTTTAATTCACAATTTTAGATACGAATAATTTTCCATAAAATGTTATGTGTATTTACCTTCAATAATTCAATAACTTAAGCGGCTTCCATGTAATTTCCAAAGAATTCCTTTTTGAACTTTATGAATTTGAAATTCTCCTATTTAGGTTCCTCAATGTTTATTAGTCTACAGAGCACATCCCACCTGAATAAACAATCAATTAACATAAAAAGGAAATCAAATCAATTTTACTGTTGCTGCAAACACAAAATCTCATGTGAATAACTTTTCAATTAAATTACAAATTCCGGCAGTGTAACTTTGCACAAATAGAAGCCCAAATATCATTAAAATACCGTACCGACAGACACACATGGGGAAGAAGGAGCACACATCCGAGTACAAAACGAATCCGTGAGATATTAGTTTGTGAATGGAAACTGAATTGAAACATGACAGGAGTAATTGAAATGTGAAACTTCAGTGCCTCTGAATTTAGACCACAAAACAATATTAGATATATTCTGATTTAATATTAATGACTTGACATAAGGAACATAATGAACATAATGTTTCTAATTAACAAAAAAAAAAAAAATTGTTTTAAATGAAAGTTAATTATTGAATATCTAAATGGGATATCTTATTTTGCAGATCTTCCGGATCCTGTTAAAAACTGCACTTCCTATAACGCCACCGCAAATTCATTACAAGTGCAATGCATACCAGGAAGCGACGGCGGCATACCACAACATTTCCATGTGCAAGTCTATGACGAACTGAACAGACAAATACTCTACAACACATCCTTCAAATATTCCGATTTCACCGTGAAAAGACTGCCAAGCGATTCGGTGTTTGTTATCAGAATAACAGCAGTTAACGCACAAGGACCCAGCAAAGTGGCATATCGTTTAAGAGGACGCACACTCTCTGCGCCTCTGCTGCGCACAGGTAATTATTTAAAATTTGGAAGCAAAATATGGCATAATCTTCTGTCAATAAATTTATTCGTTTTGTTTTTGTAAGTTGGAAAATGACGTGCAATTTTCTATTTTCTAGCTTCCTCTACGGCTGTGCTGGTCCAACTAACTCCATTGCTGGGCGCTCTGGTCGGAGTTATTGCAACTTTGGTGCTCGTAGCTATTTGCATTGTGATTTTTGTTAAATTTCGCACAAAACGTACGCGTCGTCCCAACGGTGATGCGACCTCGACCGAGGCGGACAAAGGCAGCGCTGAGCCATTATCACGCAATATGGGCAGCCATTCCAGCTTAGAGGATAAAAATCCCGATGTGGTGCCACAAGAAACAAACAGTGAGGATGAATTTCATATGGAAGAGAAAGCATTCGATCGACTCAATATGGAATCGCAACGGATTTTGTATACTCCACCATCGCGCATGAATACAGCATCGCCAACTTTGCCGCCGCTATCACCCACTTTTGGCAAGCAGGTAAGTTTCTATTGAGAATGACATAAAGGATTTCAATTTTGCGTTGTGGTTCATGGTGCAGAATAGCAAATAATGTTAATTTATTCCAATATGGAAACTCCATTCCAGCTATGTTTTAAACTATATTTATTTAAGTTGCTGAAAGTTTTCGCCTGCAGATGCAGATGTGTTTTATGTTAAAGTTCTGCTAATTAAGCTTCAAATTAATATTTCCAGTGAACTCAAATAAACGATTTTTTGATCGTTTTTTATTTAGAAATTCATTTGATTTTATTCACATGATTTTGATATAAAGTTATTAATATTAATTGTTTCAAAAATTTTGTAATAATCTGTATTTTATTATAAAACATGAAATATTTTATTAGGTACAATTGATTCCTAATAGTTTTATACATAGAAGAGTATTGTTAAAATAATAATATAATGCAAAACCAGCTCCAAGTGCAAGTATTCTCAATGTCTGCTGGCCGGAAAGAATATCGCACACCGAATTATGGGGGAGACTCAAGTAACCCCAAGTTACAACGAAGATAAATGGTCCTGGATCGAACAATCACTTCGACGACCCGCTAATAATATACCAAGGCAAGCACTGCGATGAAACTCACAGGGTAGTCCGTGATCAGGTGCACAGAAAGAACATCGCAGAGAAAAATTGAAAAAGCATTAAAATATGCTGGATTTATTTGGAATGATGTCACAAGAAAAACTCTTAATAGAGTACGATTTCAATTGGTGGGCAAGATCCTATGCTCTAGAAGGCGTTAAGTAAATCAGTAGCAGTAGTAATAAAATAATACTTCACTAAGAATGTAAATGATACTGTTTGATTGGAATAAATTGTAATGTCTGGCTTCTTCTGCGGCAAAACTGCTTAATATAGCTCTTCTATCAAATATTGTAATTCCATATCACTTACGACAGCAGTGGCGAACCATTTTTCAAATTCTTGACAATATTTTGGTATCAATGAAGAACCTTTTTGTTTTTCTGTTTATAAAAAGGAAAACAAAAAGTTTCCTTATGTTTTTGATCACGTGGACCATAGACATGGACCATAGACATTTAATTAACATGTCGACAGCGGTCAAAGCCATCAAAGTTGTGTATGGCTTGGCATTGTCTTAATGGAACACACTCCTTTTGTGTTGACCATTCTTAGTCGCTTTCCCTTGATTAACCGAATTAACTTTTGCACCAAGTTGGAGCGGCTCGAAATAGCGATTCCTTTGTAATCACGTCACGAATCCATTTGTCTATTTTAATCAAATTCCGTTTACCATTCTGTATAGAGTTTTGTTAGTCCAAGACACTGTCATCGTGAGCACAACTGCAGCAGGGCAAGATATTATTTGGCGCATCCAAGACTCAAACATGAATATAATATGTAGGATATATACATTGTGACCGAAAAGCTTTCGGAAATTCTCATTTAAAATTCGCGCGCTGTATATTTTTCGATATTTTAAGTTTATGTAGTTTGGCAGCACTGTCCTTAATTACTATGCCAAAATGAGCGCGATCTGTCAGACAGTTCGTTTACGGCAGCTGTTGAAACCAGTTCACCTCAGTAGTGCGTTGCGAAAAAAACAATGGAAAAAAATATTGAACAAAGAGTTTGCATCAAATTTTGTTTTTCGAACGAAATTTCGTGTGCAGAATCGTTGCGAATGCTACAAAAGGCTTATGGGGAATCAGTTTTATCGAAAACTCAAGTTTATGAGTGGTACAAAGCCTTTCAGGACTGTCGTACGACCGTCGAAGACATGCCGCGTTCTGGACGACCTTCGACCTCTACCACCGACGAAAACATTGAAAAGGCAAAGGAAATCGTGTTCAAAAATCCTCATGTGAGTGTTAGAGAGATAGCACGAGAGCTAGGCATCGGTCGTGAGATGGCTCGTTTGATTTTGGTGGACAATTTGTGTATGCGACGTGTCAACGCCCGGCTTGTTCCGATTCACCTCAATTTGTTCAACATTATCAACGATTTTAAGGCCAAACATTCAATAAATACCATCGAACAGCCACCGTATTCACCTGATCTTGCACCGTGTGACTTTTTCCTGTTTCCCAACCTCAAATTACCACTCAGAGGAACGCGTTTTGAATCCATAGAAGACGTAAAACAGAATTCGCAGAGGGAACTCAAAGCCATACCGGAAAGCGCCTATAAAAATGTTTTGATGATTGGAAGAAACGTTGGCATTTGTGTATCGCTTCTAATGGAGCATATTTTGAAGGAGATAAAATAAATATTGATGAAGATTAAAAATTTTGCGTTTTATTTATTTATTTCCGGAAACTTTTCGGTCACAATGTACGTCTTAGAGACAATTTAACAAACTTTTTAGACGTAATACACATCATTTGCGATGCCAAGAATTGAGATCCAAATGGACTATAGCAATAACTGAGATATGATCTGCATATATGTAAATAATCAAAGTTATTAATGGTTCGGTTAAAAAAACCTCCAGCTAAATACTTTCTTTATATATGCAATCCAAAAACATTCTAAATATAGTCATACTGCACTAAAAATATAATAACTAAATAAAGAGGATATTTTAAGCTAATAAAAAGGGTATTCATACTTATATGATTAAAAATCTCTTAAAAACCTTTGTTAATAAAACTGAAAACATTGCGGATTTATTGGTTCTATTTAATGACTGGCCAAATATTTCTTACCCCAAATATTTTCACAAATTGTTTGTTACCCACTGAACTGCAATTATTAACGCAATTTGCAGCATTCTTACAAAATTAAATAACTCAACACATTTCTACTACTAACTACCGATTACTCCACCCCGCACACATTCCGTCATCCCTTTCCAGAAGATACGAGTAGCACTGATGTAACTCAATCAATTTGATACACTGCAAATGCATGTAATGGCAACCAAGTAACTGAGCATATCTCCTTTATGTATTGTTTTCCAACTTCAACGGATGTTTGTGAGTCTGTAATCATCGTTAATAGATGGAACACTTTATTTCACATCATATTCCCTTCAAAGATAATATACTATTTCGGCTGGTGGTGGAAGGAAGTTGCCACTTGTTAAAATATCACCACAAAAAGTAAGGCACCCTTGGGCAAAGTTTGAGCTACAACTACTTTACTTATTGCTTGGCAAAACAGCAACCAAAAAAGGGAGCCTGCAACCCTTCGAAAGGATCTAAACAAGAAAAGTGATATGTTTACTTGATTATCTTACAACGTAATGAGTTCAGAGCTATTTGCTGTATGACAAAAAATAAAATGGAAGAAATGGATGAAATGGAAGAAAAAACTAGAAATGAACAAGTCGCTTTCATTTATTATCTTTCGCAACTACGGAAAAGTGAAGACGGGAATTAGTTTTGTAGCTACAAACAGTTATCATATATATGTATGGTATGTATGTACTTTTCTGACGTCAATTTGTTGACAGCTTTTTATTATATCATTATCTCTTGAGTTTCATCATGTGAATATCACTGAAATTATGTTTAATTTGTTTATCCTTGTTGTGATGAAAAAAAAAGAGTTTGGAGGAACGCAATGGAAGTTTCATTTATTACACTTGCTCTCTCCCATTATTTTCGCTTCCATTTTCATATTAGAAAAACCATAAATGTATTTAAATGATTAAATGAATATTAAATAAAAGTTTTTTAATGTGTTTGTCTTTAACACCCAACATTTCACCAAAATAAATGACTTTAAACACAGCTTCCTTTACTGCTTGCACAAGTAGCATATGTAAATTCATATCCGCGCCATTATCCTTATAACTTAATATAGGACGTGACAGCGATATTTATGATATAACAGCAATGAATATCGATCCAAGTGACAATATGTCACCTAAAAAGTTGTTTGCCTTGTTTTTTGGTTAATGTTTCTGTGGTAAGGGGCGAAGAGGGTCGAAGAAAAGATGAACGCATGTACGACGAGTGTGGCAATGAGTATGACAATTCTTTTAACCTCTCCCAACCTTCGTTTGCAACCTGCGAAGTTTGAGCGAAAAACTTTGTCATTCAGAAAACATTTGTTACAGAACTTATCATTGTCACTTTCTTATTTGTACATATCCTTATCGATTGCCTCAACGCTAACAAATTTTTGTAAATTGACGTGCCATATTTCAATACCTGCAAGTACACGAATATTGTGGGTGCTTAGAAGTGTGACACTAAAAGACACGAAAAATCATAATCATAAAAAGAAAAAAACCAAAAATGTGCACCTTCTGCCAAACAAAGTGGCAAAGATGCTGCGACTGTAATAGTAACCCAGCATATCTCGCAGATAGTCTTTTTACTGTGACACAAATGCTCTATGTTGGGTATGAACAACTAAAAATATATTATATAGTACTAATCTAGAAAAGATCATACAATCAGATATATCAAGACTTATTAAGAATGCCTTATTGCAGTAAAAATTTTAAATCAAAATTTCAATTAGTCGTTTTGGAAAAAATATCAGAAATCACAGTGAAAAATATGTTATTCAAAATGTTTATTCTTTCATTTTAAGAACAAAAAAATTAGAAGAAAAAAAATTATTGCTTAAAATTTGAGTAATTATCTTCTTTTTATAAAGAAAAATGGGGACATACGCATTCCCAAGCACTGAGATAATAGATTTTAGTACATTATATTTCAATATCACTTGGATCTTAAGATAACTCGCTTTGACTATTTATATATTGTTTACTTCAACCAAACTGTAAACGCCATCTAGCGCCAACTGCTATAAACAATTTTAAAATTGATTATACAAACTAAGACTAAATGTGGTCCTATGAGCCACGATTTTTATATAGTTTATACATAAAACAAAATAAAATACTTGTGTATATTGGCACTTTTATTTGTGTATTTCTTTCACTCAATCTTTATTATTTTTGTCGCATTTGGCGCTTCATTCGTTTTTTAGAGCTGCCATATAACAAAAAGTTAACACACCATCCGGCATGATTATCATCTGAAAATTTGCAACATCAAAGTCTGATATCGCAATTACTTATCGATATATCTTCATTTAGCATTATGAAAATATGGCGCAGTATATATATAAAGAAATAAATCAAATCCGTTGTCAAATCATATCTGCTTCGAAATCGGACCCCTGTTAAAGAACTCTATTGGTGATCTAAGTTTTAGTGATCTTAGTAGTTAATGCTCATAGGAATTAAGAAAGAATTAAAATTATACTTTATCGTTATAATTATATACTACGTATAACTTTAATAGAGAGAAAATATGATGAAAAACGTAACTACGTAACGTAACTAGAAACGTAGACTACATATATATAGCAATGGGTGTACTGTATTCATTCTTAGCCAAATATTGAAAATCGTAGTTAAGCTAAATACTGAAATACTTCCACCAAATTTAGTTGGGGAGTTGTGTTTCTTAAGTCTTTTAGCCTGTGAAAGTAGATTGCTTTAATAAATTAATGCTTAATTCACAAAAAGTGATTATATTTGATAGAAATGAATATCTTAAGGGATTACTTTATTTACTTTATGTTACGCGTTAAATACTCCTTACCGAGTAAAAGTTGTTACTGCAGTTATCTTTCGCCCGGAATTATTTTTAGACATATAATTAATATATATAGGGATTACTTTATCTGATTTATGTTATATTTTCATTTTCCTTTAATGAACGTGTCACTGCCTTCAATATTTCCCATGTATTTTTTGATGTTGTTACTATTATTTTCTTTTCACTGTAATTCTAAAAGCCATCTTGACCGAATGTAGAGTATGCATATACAAAAAAAAAAATTTTCCGGAATGTGTGGCAAAAAGATAATAAAATAAAAATAAAAGGAACATTTTTTTTGTTTGTCATGTAAGGAAATAAGTTAAATATCCTGGAATGTGTGCAATAAATTTATCGAAACAAAGAAAAACTATCAAACTGAACTAATAAAAATGTCACCATGAATTTCAATTTGAAATAAGTGGAAGAGGTTGAGCAGTGGAAAAGGTTTCATATACAAATATAATAGGAAAATGATGAGTTTAGAGGATGTGAAAATGAGATACAAAAAGGTTTCGAGTTTTTCAAATTATAAAAATGGCAGTTTGACAGTTTAAATTTAAACTTGAAATATGAATTACACTGCAATTTCAGTGTATAGTTTTTTAATATAAACATTGTTAAAGTTTATTAATTGTATTTTATATATAATTAATATAATTAATTAATTCATGTTTGAAAGTGTATTTCATTGAAACTACTATTTACTTCCTTTTCTTTATTTTTCTTTACAGTACGGTGAACTTTCCTTGACCACAAATCCCGCCTACAGTTTATACAATACACCACAACGTGCACCAGCAACACAACGTCCATTATACACAGCCCCACCGCCTCTACTATCCACACGTACACCACCTAATATATACACACGCATACCGGGACGCACCTATTTACCAGCTTATGAGACACGCACATCTCCGACTTCACCTTACGGTTCCACTACAACCTGTACAATACCTTTACTTGGCGGACAATCGAGCGGTTCATTGCAAACAAACAGCAGTAGCGGTGTGGGCAGTGGTCTGGGCATAGTTAGCGGTTGCAATACGCTGCCACATCCAGGCTCACAAAATAATGCCATATCGGCCGCTCTAACATCATCGGTAACATCTGGTAATATAACCATTGGCGCAGCACAATCACTACTCACTTCACCACGCACTCAGTCGGCTTATGGCAGCGCAACTGTACAGTCGCCATTGCTGGCTACAAGCGCTTTACTTGGCAATGGGAACTATGAAACGGTGTCCTCCTGAGAATTACCGAAAGATGACATTAAATGTCAGATTGTCTGCATCGGTGGAAGTAGTACGTGCACCAGCAATGCCGAGCGTACCACCATTGTTTAGTGGGTGTACCAACGCCTAACATTGTGTTTAGTATTTGTGCGTATCCTTCCACTTGGTTCGTATGCAAAATTCTATGTAATATATTTGTAGCTAGTTAAGTGATTATACGTATAAGATAAAGATACCTGTATCTATGTATCTACATTCAAAGAGTTATTACACATTCTAGTTAGTATGTATGAAGTATTTAATTTGAATCTTTGTATTATTTTGAGTTAATTTAATTTTAATTAATTTTATATGATTTATTAAATTAAGTTTTGATGTGCACATTGAGTTTGTGTGTGCGTTCGATCATATTATGTATTTATCTTAAACGATTTATGTTCATCGAAATCACAATAAATTACCTACACTAAGTTTGACATGCAAAATGTTGAAGAAAATAATTAATTTTTTGTACCTTCGAATTATTACCAAAAGATGTACAAAGTCTGATTAAATTAGCAAGAAATAATAGAAATTTACTGAATCTGAAGCTGATAATCTTTTTACCTCTAAGGCAACGTACATTTAAAAGTTGATT